TCCACTTTTATAATGTAATGTTAGTTCAATAGAATTATCCAAGAAAAATTCAAAAGTATCTGGTTGAAGACCTCTAACAAATTCAAATGGAGTTGCTGGTTCACCATTTATAATTTCTGTTGTAAATGTCATTGTATCTGGTTTCGAAAATTTCTTTGTTAGTTCTGTATCCACATAAGTTTTGTCGGCTTTCTTATCTAACATTGCTGGTAGTTCATGTGCTTCAAAGTTTCTGGCATGATCTTCGATATTCCTGCAACTGTTATCTAAATTGTTAAGAGTATCTTTTACGCTTGTGCTTGGATTCTCTAATGGTGCACTTGAACCAAGGTCAAAGTTCAATATTATGTCGTCTGCTCTAACAGTAGTGAAGGATTTATGTGTATGGTTCTTGTCTGCTTTCTTATCTAACATTGCTGGTAGTTCATGTGCTTCAAAGTTTCTGGCATGATCTTCGATATTCCTGCAACTGTTATCTAAATTGTTAAGAGTATCTTTTACGCTTGTGCTTGGATTCTCTAATGGTGCACTTGAACCAAGGTCAAAGTTCAATATTATGTCGTCTGCTCTAACAGTAGTGAAGGATTTATGTGTATGGTTCTTGTCGGCTTTACTGTCTAATGTAGCTTGAAGTTCATTTATATCGGAGATGTTGTGTTTATGAGATTTCAAAACTTTGTTCATTGCTTCGAGTTCAACTTTGTCAGCTTTACTTTTAATAGCATCTTCAAACGTTATTTTTGACTTAACTCTCAAAGTAAATCTTGGTTCAACTAATACACCTTTAACAGAGAAAGTAGAGGCATAAATTTCATCGTTATAACTAAATGCTTCTGGTGCTTTACCCGTGTCATACTGTACAGTACAGCTTATGTCATAACCTTTAGCACGAATGTATTTATATCTTCTTTCATTGGGGTCTTCCGTCTTCACTTCATCACTTCGTGTTAAATATCCATGGTAGTCCGTTATAATCTGTTCGTCTGAAGTTATATAATGAACGTGGTTCTTGACTTTATCACTCAGAGCTAAAAGCTCATTTTTGTTTGCTTTTTCGGCTAATTTCTCATTAACATCATTCACTTCTAATTCAACTCTTCCGCCAGAACTCTTATTATCATTAATCTTTTTCATTAATTCGGTAATTACGTCATAAAGACTATATTCTGTTTTCGGTTTTGTAAATAATGAGTCAAAATTTCTTTTCATCATTACATCGCTGACATTAATGATATCACCAATTCCTTTTTCATTTATTCTCTTCATTAATTCTGCAATAATGACGAATATATAATCTGTTAATTTATTCTCTTCATCGAGGGTTATAGAATGTTTTGAAATTGAATCATTAACTCCTCTAAATAAATCAATAACTTCAGGATACACGTTTTTAATGTCTCGAATAACCCGACCAGTATCCTCGCCACTATGTGGCTCTGAGCCCGTTGGGCTCTGTTGTTCATGTTCTTCGTTCCCGTCGTTACGTGGTTTTATATCTCTAACCATCATCAACGCAGCCATAACCGGGGGGTTTGTTGCTATCTGTTCGAAAATCCGTCCGTTATGTACGGTATATCTAAATAATTTCTTTGTGTTTGTTAAAACATTTGAAACAAGTCTTTTAAAACCATCTACAAAATTTCCTGTTTCACCTAATGTTCTTGCAGCATTTACAAGCTCACCCATGCCCGCTTTTGACCCCAAAAACGTCCATATTGCATTTATTTCACTCTGTATAGTTGTCCATTCAGCAAAATTAATTCCTGCATTCGCTAAGCTGAAAATGAAATTCAGTGGATCGAACTTAATTCCACCTTCTTTTTCAATTTCAACGAACTCACTAACATGAGATTTTAAATATTCTTTCGTTAAAATTGTTTTCCCTGATGTTATGTCATTAACGAAACTATCACCGTCAAAAGTTAACGAATTCAATTTCGTCGTTGATGCTTTTATTTCATACACCGCTTTATTGATAGTTTTTGGCTCACCTTCTTTAGAAGCATATGAAACATTAATGAATGAATTATATGTATTCATGAATGAGTTAAAATCAATGATTTTCATTAATGACGCCTTTAATGATTCATTTACTGTCGAATCCCTTAAAGCAATTAATGAACTGTCATGGGCTTCGCCCTGGTCGCTTCGGTCTGAAAGACCTTCAGGACTCAAAGAGTCCGTTTGCGACTTTATGAAAGGTACACTGCAAACCGTCGAGTTTGGATCAAATCCTGTAGTTGGTGCAGGAATATTAATGATATAAGTCATTAAATCATTAAGTGACGTAAATAATGTTGTCGTTTTTGATTTAATTTCTTTAGCATCTGTTATATATGGTAATTTTATTTCTGTAGTTTCTGAATTAAAGATATTCGCTAAAATGTTTTGTAAACTGTTTTGAACAGCTGTGTAAACCGTTGAATTCGGAACTCTTACAATTTCACCATCCTTAATAAAAGGCATTGTACATGGCGTAGTGCTTGGGTCAAATCTTTCGGGATTATAATTCAACATATATTCTAACGCTTCATGAACAGACTTATATACTGTTGTGTCGTTCTTCATGACAACTTCACCATTTACAATGAATGGCATAGTGCATGGAGTTAAAATGGGGTCAAACTTTTCATAGTCCTTCCATGTTATGTATTTCTCGGTATTTCCATCAGAAATAACAATATATTTGTCAGTAAGTGTGAGAGAGTATTGACCAAAATATAAACGTTTAGCTCTGTCAGCTTCATACGCATATGCAGCTATACTCATATTTTAATGAGAATAAAATGTTGTTCTATTTGCAAAGTACAGACCCAAACGAATACGGGACAGTAAAACTACAAACAAACTTAGGTCTACAGAATGAGCCACTTGCATTCAGAATGGTTGACTTTAATACTATTGCTTCATTCGTTATAACTGACGAAACAGATTTCATGGAGCTTGAAATAGATGGAAAGAAGCATGAAATAAGATTTCACAATAATGTAGAATATAAGATGGAAACATTAGCTGGAGTGTTAAATGCTCTCATAAATACTACAATAAACAAGGATAACGGAGAAAACTTAATGAATGTTAAACTTATTGCAGGAGTTTTGAAGTTCAGTTATGCGAAAGAGTTTAAGATACCAAGAATGAGTCATAGAGTTCAATTGCTTCTGGGAGCATACCATATGACATTTCCTTTGAAAAGTGTTGACAAAACGATTGAGATGAAATCTGTTCCATACGTATGTTATGGCAATTGTTTATACATTGAGTCAAAAATAGCTAATGTCACAGGTATTTCAGGAGTTAATAGTAAAGGTTCAGTAGAATATAAATCCTTCTGTTATGAAGTAAATTCAATGTTCATTCCAAACGTTCCTGTCATAGCAACTCATTTAGGTAAATGGGTTCGCATTAGTCCTCATAATTTGAAAGACATGCAATTCAGACTAGTTGACTTTCAAGGAGAGCCTGTAGAACTGAAGGCACCAGTGCGAATGACTGTTGAAGTTGACTTTTTAGAAAATATTAAATGCAACAGCTTACAAGAGAACTCAGAGCTAAAAATATAAAGTATGAATGTTATGTATTAGGTCATGAACTTTGGTTGTTGCTGTTTGATGAAACAAATGAGTTAGTTATGTCAGTCAAGAGAACAGAAAAAGGCGTCAAAGGCGCCGAGCGCAAAGCGCTATATTGTGTTAGTGAGAACTGCACCAAGTCAATAAGATTAGGTTTGCATTATGAAGATGAGTTCGATACTGTTGAAGAAGTTTTGGATAGATATTACAAATTGCTTTAATTTACTAAAACATATTTCAAGCAAAGTTTATATTCTGTTGAAAGTTTTGTATACTCGTTCGAATATTTATACTTAAACTCAACTCCTGGAGTACCTGGTATTTCAATGATGCGGATGTTACCTATTTTCATGAATGGTGGCGTTTGACCACAGCATTCGATTTCAGGGTCGAGATAGTCAATGACACATTGTTTCCCTGTTATTCGTGATATAACATTTTCAAGGTCCTCCTTTGTTAGAATTATTTGGTTCTTGCTTATAAGATTTGTCAAAAGCTTCTTATCGTCTTTGAGTAAAATAGTTTGATATAACTGAAGAAGGTAATGGTCTACGTTATCTGAAGGATTTGTTTGAACATTTGTGTAAGGGTTGTCGTTGGCTTCTCTTGAAAGAACTTGGTCCAGTGGTGGATACTCTAACTTAACATCTGATGTAGCGTTAGCGTTTGAAGCTGAGTTTAAATTCACGGCGCCATGCGCCAAGATGGGCTCTTTGAGCCCTCCCGACTTAAGTTCTGGTTCTTTTTCTTTCAAACACTCCGAACTATAGTTCTTTATGACAATATTGTTTGTCGTTCGTGAGTCAACATTTGATGTTGGTTCAATTGGAACATTAACGGCACCAGCTAAGATGGATTTGCTTCTCATTTCATATAGAATAAAAACCTTTTATATGTATGAAATGAACAATATACTCGACAGGGGTTTGAATGTAAAGCTAACGAATGAAAATATTGTTGAATTCACTGAGACAGGTGCTGTGTATAAAGATGTAGAACTACTGAACAAAAGAGCTAAGGGAAGAAGCAGGAACATGAACAAAGGGTGGAAGCCTATAAAAATTTATGTCAATGATGGCTCAGGAGGTTCAAACATAAAGTATGCAGAAAGTTATAGAGTTTATGCTCTCAAAGGTGAAAAGCCTTCATTTAAGAACAGCTATTCTAACCCATATCCTCAAAAGCTAACGGATGGGGAAGTGGATGATATGAATGACAGCAAAAATATTAACAGAAATGGCGACAGAGATGCATGGAATTTGTTTACCATCAGTCAATTGAAGGTTAAACTTTAAAACAATGTTGGTCGTTCCCATGGAATATTTTTGACTTTAATGGTATTAGTCATGATATGAATCTCAAGGTATGAACGAGGAGAGATGAGAGACTTATATGCTTCCCAAATTTCTTCAAAAGGTAATGTTATACCTGACTGTTTCCAAATGAGTTCAATATCATAGCGTGAGAAACCTTGAAAGATAACGAAGTCAGTTATGAGACGTTTTATGTTTAAAGCTAAAAACCTCCATGTTTGCATAAGTATTGCTACAGTTAAATGGTAATGTCTGACTTTAGTTATGATGTTAGCTAATGGTGAGTCAGGCTTTGAAACTAAACCTTTTCCGGCGAAGTCGTCGCAAACTAACAAAGTATTTGAAGGATATTTTTTGAAGGGGTATTTTGAAAGTTTTGACAGAATGTAGTTTGTCAGTCGTTTCATATCGTAAACTCCTGAGTACTGACGTAAGTGGTGTTTGTCAATAATTCTTTCCATCTCCTCAGAAGTCTTTTGCATTCCTGACTGTATAAATTCAACGATGGCATAATATTTCCTCTTACGTCGAATGTAACGTTGAAGAAATTCAATGAGTTCACTGTCTGGAACTTTAACGACAGAGGCTTGAACTTTTGACATAAATGTTTTCGCTGTTGAGTCCATAGAGTCTGAAGTTGCTGATATAATGATTTGGTCATAGTAAGAGTCGTTTCCTAAACGCTCTGTTATGAGTATATGACGAATGAGGTTAAATGTCTTACCTGAACCCATCTTTCCACAATAGAAATACACACCATTTGAACAGAACTCATAATCTTTGCTGAAAGGAAGAATAAGAGAACTGTTGAGCTTTTCACTGCTTTCATTCATGTCTTCATCTACGTCATGTATTAAATGCTTCATTTTATCTCCATTAAAAATGCAAGTCAGAAATATTCAGAACATAGCACCGAGTCTAACTGACAAGAGTATAAAGATATACTATGAACACGTTATGATGAAACCAACCAAAATTCAAGAAAGTCAGTATACTTATGAATATCCAAGACACTGGGTAGAGTATGTAGGAGGTGAGAAAGCTATTGAAATCAGACAGGTTCGAAGTATTCCAGCAGGAAGAACAATATTATTGAAGAACTTTAATGTTTTGAGATATAATGATGAAACAAAGAAGCAAGATAGTTTCCCTGTTGCTGTGTATGTGAACTTAGATACAGGAGATGACATGAAAGTTTTTAACACAAAGCTTCAAACGGTAGTGAGAGAACAACTTACTGCGGAAGGGCATCCATTACCTTCAGAAGTTACCATAGCATATAATTTTGAAACAAACTCAATAGATTTTAAAGTCATCTCTGCAAAGAAGTCAGGTTTTACATTTAATGAAGCAGATGTATATTCGAATGAAAACTTCAAAGCTATTGCATGGTTAGATAATGACGATTGCTTTAAGAAAATATTTAAATTCAGTGACTCAACGATGTCAATAGATGACCTTCGTGGAATGTTACCATCGACGTTTACAGTAGAAGGTTCAGCAGGATTGCTTACAAGATTGTCAATTGGTGGTATTTGGTCTCGTGAGAACATTGTTATAAAATCCAGTATAAGTGAATTTGCTGAAGAATCTATATTATGTCTTTCAAACTACATGTATTCGCCGCCGAAGCATTATAGTATAACAAACTTTGTCAGTAAGTTTAACATAAGACTTGTCGAACCTTCTTCAATGAAAGATGTTGTGCTACCCAAAGACGGAAAGGATGGACTCATTATTGAGATGATTTTAATAGCATATTAAATGAGCTTGTTCTTGAAGGTCATTCATGATGAAATAACTGTTGTAGAAGATGTTAGCAATTGTTCAGACATTTTATTGAGAATAGATGATATAAGAAATAAGTTAGATAGACCGCAAACGGACTCTTTGAGTCCTGAGGTCTTTCAGACCGAAGCGGTGAGGGCGAAGCCCGTGAGAACGCTTATGTTTCATTGACTTTCTCCAGTAACGAGAACTTTTATGAGATAATATTGAAGAGAGATGATTTTAATATGGTGTAAATGGTAGCTTGGGCAGCTTTAGGCGCAATGGGAACAAAAGCATTAGCATTTGGAGCAAAAGCACTTGGAGCTTATGACGCAGTAAAAAAATGAGTGGAGGAAGGGTTTCGAAGACATTAGATGCAAATAAAGGGAAGATTGGAGGCTGGGTTGCAAAGAAGTTAAGATTAAATAAAATAGGGCTCATAAATAAAGCATCCAATTTGGTTGCGACTGAGTCAGAAAATGCTTTAGGAAAGGACGATGAGTTTGCAAAACACGCAAAAGACTTTAATGACCAGATGAAAGGTGAAACAATGCATTTAAATAGAGTCGATGGAACTAAAGAAAATGTTTCTTCTCCACCAGCGGTTTATCCATACGGACCTTATGGAATGTATGGAAACCCTTATGAACGACCATTTGACCCATTGACTGGTGGAAGTAATTGGTATCATTATGGACGAAGAAGAAAGACAGTCAAGTTGGAGACAGACGTGAAGAAAGCAACTAAAAAGAAACCAAGGAAGAGAGTTATAAAGTAATGAATTCAACGGGGTGAAAAAAGAGGTGAAAAAAGAGGTGAGATTTCACCACTTCACCTAAATTTATTTTTTCACCTCTGACAACGTTTATTTTTAAGTTTATTTTATTATTTAGCGAGAACGTTTATTTTTATATAAATGACGAAAACTATTGAGATAACAAACTACAACGGTCATGAGTTCAAGAATTTGTTCTTCGTTCCTCGTGAAAATACATTCTATCAGATACGAGGGAGAAAGGGTAAAGTTAGTTTGAGCGTTTACGACAACAAACATAATGGGAGATATATAAAAGCAATAGATACAAATGGTAAACGTGTTTCATTAGCTTTGTCAAAACTTACAGGTATAAACTATGACAGTGATTTTGACCTATATGAAGAAGAAAGTGAGTCAGAAGATTATGAGCTGTTATGTGAAGCACAGCAATGGGAAGCGCTGCAATACTTTTGTAAATGAGAACATTAGTGGGAACGTTAGTGAGAACGTTTATTTTTTCATTAGTGAAGTCGTTAGCGAAAATGTTGGTGAGCTCGTTAGTGAAGTGGTTGGCGGCTTTGTAAATATTTAAGGTTAAGTGAGTGTTGTCGTTTTGTGTTGTAAAATATACATTAATGGTTTCGTAAAGTGTCAAAACCGCTAAGTTGTGTACGGAGGCGCGCGGTGCCACAGTACACAAGATAGTCATACTAACTTTATCTTCTGCTGGTTTCTCTGCTTCTTTCTTTAAATCTGCATAGTCGTTTCGCATACGTTCTATCTCTTTGACGGAGTAGTTATATTTCCTCATTGCTGCTTTACATTTTGAACATTGTGGGCTCATTTTAGCATTGTACATTGAAATTTGTCCTGCAAGTACAACTAAGGCGTCAATGGTTTTCTTTAACTCAAAAGTTGCGGGTTTTATCTGTTCATTCCATACTTTACCTCTTCTATCTTTATCTCTTATCTGCCATACACATTTTGCAACTAACGAAACAAAGTTGTCGTATGTCTTAAACTCCCCAGATTTATATATGTCAGAAACATTCTTATATAACATGTCGCAATCTTTGTCCATGACTTTGTGGTTGCAATGAAATCCAAGAAACTCATAGTTAACCTTACGTATGAACTTCTTTATTTCTACTGAGTCAGTTGCTTTGACTTCAATTTCATCGAATTCAGGAATAGTAAGCTTTTGTTGTTGTATTTCAGGAAGTTTAGGTAGATGGTCAATAATATCCTGCATTTCATAAAGATATTCTTCATTTGTTTCATCTTTTGCAGTGCAATCTAAATCTCCTTGGAGAAGTTCTTGCTTTATCTTCTGGATTTCTGTTTCGAAAGTATATGAAGAAGGAATGAAGCTTTTCATCTCTACTAACATAGATGTTGGGTTAATGACTAACGAGTTTGGTGCTATTGTTGCTAACATGTTCTTACAATAAAAATAAAAAAATATTTTTTTTAAAAAACTAAAATATATTTTTTATCTTAAGGAAATTCATGAAAATTCAAGAGGTGAGAAAAGAGGTGAGAAAACAGGTGAGATCTCACCTCTTCACCTAAAATATATTTTTATTGAATTCAGCAACAAAATTCAAGAGTTTTGTGTGTTTTCTACGATGGTAGAAATGAGGGTAGAAAAGAGGTGAGAAAAGAGGTGAGATCTCACCATCTACCCTAAAATATATTTTTATTGAATTCAGCAACAAAATTCAAGAGTTTTGTGTGTTTTCTACGATGGTAGAAATGAGGTTAGAAATGAGGTTAGATCTAACCATCTACCCTAAAATATATTTTTGTCTGATTTACGCTCATTACGATGAAATCATGACAAAACATTTACGATGAAATCATGACAAAACATATACGATGAAGTCTATTTCCTGTGTTGTTGTCAAAATGTCATGTTGTCACCATTTTCAAAAAGATGTTAGTTGACCGAGGGACCGAGGGACCTGGTGACACCTAAAATATATTTTTGCCGAATTCAAGAGTTTTGGTTGAAAGAATACGGTGGAGCCAAAAGTGGCTCGACCTCAAAAACAAGCATTTTGTGAAGAATATACCAACCGCCGGAATTCCGGCGGTTGCTTTTTTTATACAAAATTCAAGAGTTTTGTGTGTTTTCTACGATGGTACAAAAAAATGGTTCATTTACTCACAATATTTTTGTACAAAACGACCCCAAACTTTTAACTTCTTTTCTGCAGCTTCTAATGAAATTTTAGCGAGTTCATATTCTCTAAATTCTCTCTTTAAATCTTCTTGTTCCCATTGGTCTAGTTCGTATGGAGAATCTCTATAACCAGAACATATCTCACGTTCATGTTCTATTTGTTTTTCGCACATTTTTCTAACTTCTTCTTCAAACAAAGGTTTTGCATTCTCCACTGTATCTTCGAGTTCTTCTTCATCTAATTTCTCATGAACTTTCTTGTCTATGGAGTCCAGAATTTTTCCAACTGCTATACAATATTTTGGAGAAGCCCACATTGCTATATAGTTTACAAGTCTTGGGTCTACATACGTTCCTCTAACCTGTTTGATTTCATCCGGAATTCCTGCATGAACTTTGTATAAAAAGCAACCGCCGGAATTCCGGCGGTTGGTATATTCTTCACAAAATGCCTTAAAATACTCTTCCCAGGACTTATTTTCCAACAACTTTCTAAAGTCCTTCCTAAACTGCTGACACATATTTGTTACATTTATATAACCATCCTTGTCTCTACGTAAGACTTCAATACCGTTGTAAGTGCCTTTTGTGAATGTTTCGCCATTAGATTTGTTCGTGAACGTTTTTGCTTCGACTGTCATTTCTGTTCTTACAATAAAAATAAAAAATATTTTTTTTAAAAAACTAAAATATATTTTTCTGTCTTAAGGAAATTCATGGAAATTCAACGGGTGAGAAAAGAGGTGAGAAAACAGGTGAGATCTCACCACTTCACCTAAAATATATTTTTCAATACTTTTTCAGCACTTTTCCGTAGTTGTATATGAAAGACAATTCGAGATAAAAGTCATAGTACAATGGTATTATATGCTGCACACCGTTTGTTGTGAACCAAACTTGAAAGTCAGAGAAACTGTTACTAGGTGGTTCGTAGAATTTAGAAGCAAAGTCATAAAAGTCCTTACCGATACATAGAAAACTGTTGTTGCTTGAACTGAAACTTGCATGACACATGACATTTTGAGGGTCAAACACGTTTCTATAAACTGTCAAATCTGCTGGTGGAAGTATAAATTTAAATGGACCATCTGGTGGTAATGGTTCGTTCTGGTTTAGTAACCGAAGAAATTGCGCCCAAGAACGTTTGTCTACTCCCCAATATAAAAACTCTGTATCTCTTGGAGGGTTAATTTCAATCTTTTGAAATGAAACGGTGGAGTTCATCTTGTCATATTCTAGTTTCAGATAGTATGTTCCATTTAGTAAAGAGTGGTATTTTTTCTTGAAATTCCCAGTAGTATTTGTTCATTTGAGTTTGAAAGTCATTTAGAGTTTTTTCAAGACTTTCGTCTGAACGAATTGTAAAGATTTTCATTTCGTCAAATTTTTCTATTAGACCATCAGAACCTTTATACTGCCCATGAAAATATACTGCGAACATAAACGCGTTAGTTCTATTTGAAAACAAAACTCTTCTAAATCCTATTGCCTTTGCATCTGAAGGACTTTGAAGCCAACGAATTGGATAGTCAAACCTGTATGTTCGGGATGAAATTTCTTCATCTGAAATATTCCTACCAGCATTTGTAAAGATATAGTCTAACGGTTTTGTATCTGCTACTTTTGTTCTTTGTTTTTCAACCTGAAGCATTTAATATATGTAAAAATATACTGTTTTAAAAACGTTTTTACTTCATGCAATGTTTTACTTCATGCAATGTTTTATTTCTGTGCCGTCTTCAAGTATGCCCCAGTACTTACGCTTGGAGAGGACATGAACTTCGGAAAATACCTTATCTAGCTTAAAACAGCCCATCTTTTCACCGACCATTCCCATTTCAATGAGTTTGTTGTATCCTTCTTCGTTCGTCATGAGTGCGTCAATGTTTTCATAGTAAACCTTCACTTTGGATTTGACTTCGGAGAAGAATTTGTTGTAGTTGTCAAGGACTGCCTTTGCGAACTGAGGGTAAGACCAATGTTCGACAATAGGTTTTAATGTGGTTACTAAGCCACTTTGACCTTGAGTGAATTCGTACTTCAAAACAAAAGGAGAAAACCTTTCAACAAAGTTGTCGACCTTCTCATAGTGTTTACTCTTCATCGCTTGAGGTTTCTTAATGGAATATCCCCATGTCGAATTCATAAGCAATTTGAGTGTCATTGCAAGTTTGGGGTTTGAAGCTTTCCTAATATCATACAGTTGTTGTATGACTTTTCCAACTGTATAGTTCCTTCCCGGGAACTCACCATCTTCGTTTGGAATTCCAGTCGGAATATATTGGACAAACCTCATGTACGCAGCGTTAAGGTCGACATAGTATATTTTTTCATCTGAGTCGAACTTGTCGCATCCAATCGGTCCAGTTTGTGGAAATTCAAGTGAGTCTCTTATCTTCTGAGAAACTTCTCCTGTTATCTCATAAACATCGTCGAAGCAACCTGTTTCATATAAAACCTTCTGACCTAACTCAGATGCTCTCCAATACGATTTGACGTCAATTGGATGTCTCAATGGAAGTTTGTTTATAGCATCTTGAAGTTCTTGCAACCTCATTGGAAGTTCTTCTGGTTCAGGTTGGTATCCGAACAATCCAACTCCTTTTGGAACTGTGTACTCTTTTGTACTAGAACTTTGTCTGGAACAACTTTTGGTCTTGCTAACAATGAAAAGTTTGTTTCGTCTTTTGGTACAAAAGTTTCTGTCAGCTTGTCATCTGGAATTGGTTCCAACAAACCTTTCTCGAAAAGAATGTTAACAGCTCTGACAATGTTGCACTTGCCTTTTCCGAACAATGGGTTTGTAAGACTTTCGTTCAACATGAAGTGGTTGTGGACAAGTACAATCTTCAACCATGGCAATTTGAAGTCAACAACATAGTCGTCGTGTGAAGAACCTTTCTCAGTCGGAATGTTAACTCGGATATTGACATTTGCCAACGGTGCAATTTTAACCAATTGACCTCTGAGAATGTACCTTGTCTTCACACATGACTCAAGATACTTCATTTTCTCATCTGTAACAAGACCAGAGTTCCTGAGACATGTAAGAATACAAGGTTCATTGACAATTGTTTCAATTGAATTGTAAATTCCATACCTTGTCAAGTCAATGTCAGACTTATTTCTGAACGGGAAGTATCCAGCATGTTGTCTGACTGCTTGAGGGTTAGGTTGGTACCATTCGAACTTTACGCTTGCAATTCCTTCAATTGCATTCAAAATGTCTGAGTCGGAGTCAAACATTTGTTCTCTCTTTGTAGTCTTGAAAGCGTCAAGAAGTTGTGCGGCTGTTGTGACATTGCCATGTGCATAGTAAATGTGACCATCCAAATCTGTTATGGTCAATCTGAGATTATGTCCTTTCTTATTTCCGTCTTGTATGGCAGCAAGTACACCCATGAAGCCTTCTTTGTTCTTTCCTTCGTCAAAATTTACTGTAAAGGTTCGACCAGATGTAATTTGACTTCTAACTTCACGATACTTTTCATATGCATATCTTGTTCTTTCCATGGGAGCATGTGCGTCTTCACCTTTTCCTTTTTTCCTTCTCAAAGGATGCAATTGTTCGTCATGTTTCCAGTAGAATCTGGCAAAGCCGTCGTGTCCTTCAACTTGAGGTTCACTAACATCGAAAGGCATGTCCATAAGACGTTCTTCTTCTAACCTCTCTAGTCTGTTTGGATAATTTGCACGTGCTGTTTCCAAGTCCATTTCGTAGCGAAGACCAGACAATTTGTCATAGACTTTTATGGGTCTTCCCTTCCTATATTTAAACTTCTTCGAAACTCTCCAACCATATCTTTGCAACTCTGCTTTTATTCTAGCAGATTTTCTATCCATTCTATATGGGGGCATTTTTATAAAAATAAAAAAATGTTTTTCCTTTACTTTACATAACCGCCCGCTACCATAAGTCTTTGACGCCAACCCATACCAGCTAATGAAGGTTGACTTGGTTTAGTTTGGAAACTAAACTTTGGTTTTGGTTTATCTTCAGTTTTTGGTTTTTCTTCTTCTATTGGTTTTTCGTCACTTTTCGGTTCCTTTGACTTTACTTCACTTGCTGGAACAGTTGTGTCGTCAACATCTTCATAAATATCATATGCCATTTGTTTTTGTTTTCCTTTCAACTTTTTGTTGTTGTTGTAAAGTTTAGAATATTTCGACTCTAAGTCAATGAGATGTTCTATAATGAACTGTTGGTCAGTGAAGTAAACTTTTCCATCTGTTGTCTCGAAAGCTCCTTCAGA